TGCCGAGAGAATGATCCATGCGTGAAGGCGTTGTTTTGCAGGCATGCAGCCCGAACCTAGGTCACGGCCTAAAGGCTATGATCAATGTGTAGTCGTCAGGTTCAGAGAGAAGCATGCCAGAATCTTTAGGTAGGAAGTCACACTTCAGAAGCTTTTGTGTAGCCGCGAGAAAAGTAGGACTTCGCCCGTGCCGCCATAGATTCAAGAGGCTCCCCGCGAAGGGGTTATGAGCCCAAGACGCTCCTGAGGAAGCGAAGAGCTTCAGGCGCTGCCCACTCCGGCGCGATGGAGGCCTCAGGTGATGGATCTGAAGAGCGCAGGCCGGATCCTACTGCAGAGCCGGTAGCTCCAGGATTGCAGCTGGACCAGGCTGAGCTGGATGTGGAGGCCCGAGGTACGGGAGAGCAATTGAGGATGGTTGAGGATGAAGTCCTCGAGCCGCCTTATGGCGAACCGGAATCCTTGGAGCCGAACCCGGCAGATGTAAGCCCTGGACCAGCAGAGGGAGCACAACCGGAAGTGGATGAAGGGGAACCACGTGGTGAGGAGACCCTTGCATCCTTGAGACACCCGGAGGCGGTGTCTGCAGCCCCCGTGGAGGAGTCGCCGGAATCCTGGCGACACTCGGAATCGAGGCAGTCCGAAGATTCCTCTAGGCTTCAGCAGTTGACGAGTGTGTTGGAAACCCTGGTTCAGGGGCAGCAAGCCTTGAACAACCGGCTGGAGAGAGTGGAGGAGGTCCGTTCCAGCCACTCGTGGAGATCTGCGGAGTCTTCACAAGGGCTGGGATGGGTCGATCAGACTGCATTGGATAGGTGGTATACGGAGGCAACAGCTCGCGCTGCTGCCTCCGGCCACCGTGATGCGAGCATGTACATAGCGGGCGATGTACAGAGTTTTCCAAGGCCAGGTGAGCTGGCAAACCCGTGGCTGAGGCCGCCTGGATGGTGGACATCGAGGCCTGAAGTCGGAGTAGGTGGTTTAGGAGGGTGTGGTGGTCCCTCTCCTCTGCCTGGATTTGGAGGGCAATCTGCGCCATGGACTTTTCCTCATCCGCCTCCATTCCCACCTCTTTCCTCGCCACCTTGTCCACCATTCATTGGCCAGACTCCCTGGCCACTCAATCCTCATGATGGCCCGGAACGTTCGCTACAGCAAAGGTTCGAGACTCAGATGTTGTCCGAGGCCTCAGCAGTGCCACTGCCCGACCGTTCGCTGCACGCAGGTCCCGAGGCACAGGCGTTGCAAGATCGTTCGTGTCCGTCAGGTCCTGAGGCGCAGGCTTTGCAAGATCGTACGTCGCAGCACAGGTCTGAGGCACAGGCATCGCAGGACCGTACGTCACAGCACAGGTCCGAGGCACAGGCGTTGCAGGATCGCGCAGCACAGCAGAGGTCTGAAGCACAGGCGTTGCAGGATCGCGCATCGCAGCAAAGGTTTGAAGCACAGGCGTTGCAGGATCGCGCATTGCAGCAGAGGTCTGAAGCGCAGGGTGTAGGACGTAAGCGAGGGGTTGAGGAGGCCAAGTTGGCCGGAGGAGGATCGGCATCGAGTGCGGCTGTGAGCACTGCGACCAAGGCTACCCTCAGCGTTGGAGGCGACAGCTCTGTGACTGAAGAGCTGGTTGGAGCCACGGTGGCGCCGATTCCTCAGCCCACCTTACCGCCTGGCACCAAGCTTCAGGTCAGGATTGATGGCCATCTGCGTGATGTTGTGGTGAATGAGAATGGAGGGTTGGAGACTGGCCCAGCACAGTATTACATTGGAAGCCTTCGAAACGCCTCGCCGCCAGGGGCTAGGAGTAGTAGTGTTCCTAGGGCTCCGGCTACGACCCCGCCGTCGACCCCTAAGATAGGAACCTCGCCTGGGCTAAGTTCGACGCCAGGAGGAACCCCCGTCCCTGCAGGACCGGCTCCTGCTAGCCCTAAGGTGACTACTAGTGCAACCCCTAGTAAGCCGGAGGAGCCGAGTCGCCACATCACTGAGCTCCCGGCTTTGGCGGAGCCACGACAGCGCTCTCAGGGCGCTGTCCTCGCAGGTGATTGGCTGGCAGCTGTGGCGCCGTTGATGAGGCAACTCTCTTCGAGTGCCCAGACGTGGTGGGCACAGAATCTGAGGGAGGCTGAAGACCACTATGAACGGTGGCTCCGTGCGACGCCTCAGCAAAGGTTGCAGGTGAAGGCGTCGGCGATGGCGAAAAGCTTTGATGCCGGAAAGTACTGCTTGGTGGAGCAGAGGGGGGTGCAACTCCTTCTGAAAGCAGTCCCCGATAGCTTTCGGACGGACCTGATTGCGACGAGGACGCTGGCGGTCAATGCCATTGTCTTCACCATCCTGTGTCGGTGGCAGCCTGGAGGCAAGTTGGAGCGTGCACAGGTATTAGATTACCTGGTTCATCCGGAGGCTTCGAGCTCAGTGGAAGAGACGGTGGAGGGCATCAGAAAATGGAGACGTATGGTGCTGAGAGCGAGCGAGCTCGGGGCAGTCCTTCCGGACTCGAGCCTGCTGCTAAAAGGGCTCGACTCGTTGACCCAACCGGGGTTGACCATCCAGTCGTGTCCTTCCGGGTGGCTGCGTACCGGAATGAGTCTGGGGTTGATTTTGCCCCCACCCAGGCCAAGGTCGCGGAGCTGGCGGAGTACCTCCTGGCCGAGTACGAGGCCCTCTCCATCCAAGAAGATCCTCGGGCACAAGGGCCCAAACGACCCCGTGCCGCAGCAGCCAAGGCTGCCGCTGCAAAGGTGGAGGCGAAGGCAGGTGCCGAGCAGTCCGGTTTAGTGCCACCCCCTGCTCCTCCTAAGGCCACCTCAGTTGGTGCTGGTGATAAGAAGGTGTGCCGGTTTTGGGGTTCTACTCAGGGGTGTAAGAAGGCAGCCTTGTGCCCTGATTATCACGATCGGGCTTTGTTGAAGGGCACTCGCAGGTGTTGGGCATGTTCTAGTGACCAGCACTTGAAGCCCGACTGCCCTTGGGACCCTCCAGACGGACAAACTGCAGCAGCGCCGAGTGCCAAGAGCGCAGACTCAGGGGCCAAGGGAGGGAAAGGACCGAAGGGCACCGGGAAGGGTGGCAAGGCCAGAAAAGGCGATGGTGCGTCTAAGCTCCAAAAGGCACAGGAGCAGGAAGCAGGAGAAGGCCAGGAAGTTGGTGCAGGTACCGCCCCGACTACCACAGCCGACTTGTTGAAGGAGGCCACCGAGGTTATCAGGTCGCTCAAGCTGAAGGCTCTTGTTGTGAAACATGAGAGGCCCAGTCCGGAGCGGGTGCTTGAAGTGTGTGGCCGACATTTTGATGAGCCGGAACGCACCGGGCTCCTTGATACCGGTGCGTCTACGTCGATGAGACGGGCCAGGCCAGGGGAGCTTGATGAAGGGTGCGAGCTGCGCAATGTGAATCTGGCAGTTGGCACCGTCAAGTTGTTTGTGAACTCCGGTGGAACGTTGCTGTCTACGGAGGACATTGATCCGTTGGTGTCGGTTGCGGATTTGGTTGACATGGGGTGTCAGCTGTCGTGGTGTGGCAATGAATGTCTTTTGACACATCCTGTGCGGGGCACCATTCGGCC